ATTATACAGTAGAGCGTCGTTTATCCAAAAGCTGGTTATCCGAAAGAATTCCAGTCAGCAAATTTAAATTTTTGCCAGTGCTGTGGCGCTGCAATCTTTGGCTATGTGTTGGGCTACTCAAATATTTTACGTTTTTGATACTAAATTAACTTCTGAAGTATAATTTTTTTATTGTTTTTACATTTCTCAATATATTTATTTTGTTCGTACAAAATAAAAAAATAATTTTTAACGATACAATAGTCTTCATTAGGCTTAACATCGATGAAAATTCAACGCGAAGTGACACGCAACGGAGAAAAATGTAAAGATGGGATAAATTAATATATTTTTTCGTACATAATTGGTTATCCGAAACATCGATCTTCCGAACAACTCCAGTCCCCAATTGATTCGGATAATCAACGCTCTACTGTATTTGAAAATCTGGACGAACTGAAAATGAAGATGGGTTCTGGCCCCAATTAATCTGGATTTTCAATACTGCATTGTATTTGTATTTTAACTTTAGGTCTAAATTTACAGGTATATTATTTAACACTGAAGTGCCATTGAATTAGAGTTACTTATCTATTAACTAGTTGAATCTATCTTGCCCCAATGACTACCTACATATGGTGTGCATGGAGTTGACAAGCTTTCAAAGTGTTCATGGATATGGTATGCTATGCTTCATCCACAGTAATCTACAATTTAATCAGTTCCCCAATGATGAGTCACAGGCATGACCCTTGTTTTCCACAATGTATCAAAGATTTTTGATGAAATTTAAATTAGGGCTTCTAGGTTGCCAATACATCATGGCAGTTGGGAAAATGTTCCTTGAATTATATAGTACCCAATTGGGATCTGTGCAATGAATAGTTTTTTTTCCAGTAGATGCCAATTTTATTGAGATATGTTAGAATAGACATAAATGGGTGCAAATTGCCAGTCAGATCTATGTACTGGGATGCACCAAGAGTCATTGATATGTATACTAGTGATGTAACGAATATTCGGTTACTATTCGGTATTCGGCTATTTTTTCGCTATTTGGCCGAATACCGAATACCTAAAAGCAGGAGTAAGAAATAACAAAACCACAGTAAATAAATCATTTTGGTATTTAGATTTAATGTTATCAGGTTAGTGTTGTTTGTTTATAATTGTTTATAACTTATAACATGCACAAAATAAAAAAGAAAATAATATTAGTCACATGTATTCACAATTTATAATTACAAGGATCAGCAGACGTACACACCTATTTGTTCGAAAATCGTCACACATCTGAGGGTCTGACCCTGCCTATCCTTCTTTTTAAGCGCTCGTCTTTGCTCTTTCCTTTCTCTTACCTCTATCGCTCTAGTCCACGTATGCCTATGCATACATCATTATATGTGCTCACAATACTTTTGATTTGTCACTTTTCCGTCGTAGATTTCCCATTTTACAATTACGTGACTCATAGCCTGGTGATAAAGGAGAAAAGAGACAAATAGGACATCAAATTAAGTCACAGTTATGATTTCACAGATTCGAGACAGCTTGGTAGCTCGTACGGTCCCAGGTTTTCGCCCATGCACGCTAAGTGACTTTCATTACAAGCATTTAGCTTTCCAAAGTCTATGACAACAATTGTTTGGCATTGACGGCCGCGAATTTTGCGCCAATAAGCTGCCTCGACTTGTTCAATTATGTTATCAACTGAATTTCATATTTATTTTCACATTTTCACAGACCTTCTCTGTTCTTTTTTCATTATTTACATGTGAAGGACGTAAAAATGTGAAAATAAATATGAAATTCAGTTGATAACATAATTGAACAAGTCGAGGCAGCTTATTGTTATCCACATTTGATATCATCATTTATCACATACTGCCATGACGCTCTTGTCTGTCTGCTAGAACTGTCAAGAATTAACGCAATTGGTGAAACGTAGTGACAGCAATCGCGTTAATACCAATAGAGAGAAGGGTCATTGCAATAATGCGGTTTGCGCGCCAATTTTCTTACGTGCGTTAATCAAGCCGAATAGTTTGGCCGAATATTCGGCCACACTCCTGGCCAAATATACTATTCATTGCAACACTAATGTATACCAAAGGTTCCAAAGATGTTCAAATGAAGACACTCCAAGGCCACCACTGAGTTTCCACTAACCTGTATCATTTCAACCTGGCATGCAGGATCCACTGCTTTGTGGAGTTAACATCATATCTTTAGTCCTCCATTGGCATAATGAGGTTTAAATTGGGATGATCATCAAAGCTATTTGTTACCAATCATCAGATGTCTAGGTTTGATGTTCTTAAGACCAGACAAGTAATGAACCCATTGGTGTGCAGTTAGCAGTGGCACTCTCGTTGGTCACTGACTTCCAAAGCTGACATGAAGCATTGCACATTCCATGCAATGACTGTCTGGCTGTATCCCATGTTCACATTGGAGATGAAATGAAATAGTGATTGACCTTGAGGATGTAAGATGCAGACCAGCCACCAAAGTCCACAGTCATTCAAAACCAACTGCCTTCTGCAGTTTGTCCAGTTGCTTGTTTTTTTAACCATTATTCATGAATTTCTAATACACTCAAAACTGTCATATGAGGGCCACTCTGAAAGTTTCTAGATACATTGACCTGTTACGTTCTGTCCCCCTCATATCTTCTCAAAGTATGAGGATGTTCAAATGCACTGTTGCATGCAGGAGAACCTGCTCTGGAAGCACTAACACCAGTCATCTTCTGAGATGTCTGCCAATGTGTCTCTGTACTGTTCTCATTGCTGTATTCACCATTGCATTGTTATGGTGCAGCAAGAGTCCAAGAAGACCTGTTTTAGGGTGCCATGCCATTTGTTGATTTCTTAAAAGACTTGAGGAAGACAAATGGTGATATACCATTCAGCATAACTGTCTTCCTAACTTCAAGGGCTATGCTGGCAACATGACTCTGTCTGTCTTCCAAAGAATGTCACTATCATTTTCCAACCAACACTTCTTGAACGTTTGACTTTGACAGGTGATGCTTTATCAGAGAAGATCCAAAGTGCAGACTGTCTCTTGCTTTTGGGGTCGAACTGGTAGATCCAGGTCTCATCACTAGTGATAATGTCACACATGTTTTGAGCTTTCCCAGCACTTAGCAGCACCATTTCACACAAATTTCTTTTTGCTGTTCAGTCAGAGAATGAGACAACTGAGACACAATCTTCCCGATTTCAAGATGATTGTGTAAGATACTACTCACTGCCACCGATCCAATACCCATGGTGTGCTCAATATCTTTATGGATTATACTGGGTCTTCTCTAAGCAGTTTCTCTACACAAATCACATTTTCTGGAGTCATTGTAGTTGCAGGTCGACTGCTGTTCTCTTCATCTTTAAGGCTGTTTCTGCCACGTCTAAATTCTATGTATCACCAGAATACTTTCATTCTGGATGGACAAGAAAATGCTGCTTGCAAATGATGGAGGCACTGGGACTCAGACAAACCAGATTTAAAACTGTATAACATCATTGCTTGGAAATACTCCCGTGTCAGCTCCACTTTCAATATCCAGATTTGGTGGCACTTCCCACTTGTGGCAAATTTCAAGGATGCAGGTATACTGTTGAAATTATGCTCAGAAAATGTTCAGCAGTAAAGTATCACAGACTGTTTTTTACCTGCATTTCACATACCAAGAAATTTTCAGAGTTGCCTTCATATGAGAAAATCTAGTTCAAAAATTTTGAATGTCAAGTAACCTGTTCATCAAACATCTACTATCTGACACTGATCAAGTATGAAGTATGTCTAATACTATGGTTCTGTATGAAAAAGGGTTAGAAATGCAATGGGCTTTTCTCACTACAATTCTCGGGACAAATGTTTGGGGAAGGCAGCTGCCAGTTATGTATAACCATAAAACAGGTCAGGCATGCATACAAATGAGAAGCACAGTATAGGATTTATAAAATGTCTCCTATCTTAATTCAATGGCACTTCATTGTATATTAGGATAAAATAACAGTGTGTTTACTAAATTCACTATGAAAATGGTCTGTTTTTAAAAAACAGTGATACCTCATACTTCGAATGACTAACTTCAAACATGCAAGAATTTGAATGCTAATTAAATTAGAGAAAAATTCATTCCAGAGTTTGAACAAACTCTGTATGCAGTGAAAAAATGTGCTTGTGGTATAAACACCTTCTATTATGTGTCCATGTTATCTCTTGCTCTTGTGTTACACTCGTATTTTCAGTGATATTTTGCTTTATTTTTGGTGTGTTTGGTTATATACATATAATACCTATTAACTATGGCATTAAAGAAAGTTATAGAAGAAACAAAGCTTAAGAGAAAGATTGTAGTATCGATGATTAATGCGAAAAAGGAAGTTATTGTTAAGCATGAAAGTACACACATCTGGCAGTCACATTTAAGATGACAAAGTTGAGCATGCATCATTCTTAAGAACAAGTGAGCAATAAAAGCAACATATGTTACTAAAGGTGTAATAACATTGACCTCTGGAAGACTGCACATTATTGAGATGGAAAAGTTTCCCATAGTGTGAATGAATGAGAACCAATTGGCTGTTAATATCATTTCTGAGAAGATTATTTGAGAAAAATCTAAGCAAATTGCATTGTGACCTTAAGAAATGAGAAATCTCCATTTTTCACTTAAGGTACAGTAAATGCAATTTTCATTTTACATTATTTAGGTATTTTATTTATTGTTTTTGTGTTTTAATTTATTATTTATAGTATTTAATTATATTATTTTTATGTAAAATTATCTGTATTTGCTGTTTATCGAAATGGGTATTGTTTAAGGTCTGGGAACAGATTAATTCATTTTGTTATTTCTAATGGGGAAATTTGATTCAGAGATTGAACAGCTCCCGAAATGAATTAAATTTGAAGTACAAGGCACCACCATATGACTATCAACTAAGACAATTAGGAACAAACCAATACTAAATAATTTTAATTCTGTACTAAATATTTGAATTTATTACCTATTTGGAGGTAATGTATTTTCAAAATCTTTATTCAAGTTTAACCATTGTATGAGTGACCGAAATTCTTTAGAATAATTCTCCAGCATCATGATAGCTTCCTGGAAAAAAGAGTGTAAATAAAATAAAATTTTATCTTTAAAGAACTCTAAATATATATTAAGTATACTTTGCATTCAACTACACTTTCGTCCATTTCGCAAGTCTGATAAATCTCGTCCACGGCACGATGTAGATTTTCAAACAGGAAGGCCCAGTACCTAGCCCGTAGATCATTCTGCGGATTTCTGCCAGCCGAAGAGGATCTAATCCTGCTCCTGCATCCTGCATAAAAGGCGCACCTTTTGCTGATGTGTCGAGTCTCTCTGCATCCATTTTCCATCATGTTTCCAGACACTGGTAATTTTGGAGAGGCAGACTGGGGTCGGGGAGAAGTTGGAGGTTTTCCAGAGGTGAATGCTAAGCAAAATTAAAAAATAATATTTTAATGGCAGCTCCACAAGTTATGCAATATGCATACAATCCCAATGCTGCCTGAGATGCACATTAAATGCACACACATAACACAAAAAATAAATTTAACAGCACAAGGACCAAAACAGTAAGCGGAAATATTTATACACCAATCCATCAATATCAAGACAGAAGCGGTTGAGATAAATAAATTTAATAGGAGAAAGAACAAATCAAACAAGAATCTTAAAGATACAGGACAGAATTTGGAAAACATGACAATAAACAAAAATGAAGCACCAAACGCACAAAGGCATGATGCGTCCGGAGTCACCAGAACAGGAAGTCAGGAGATGACAGGATGGACGTAAAGTGGCCAACAGGTCCAAAAGAAAATGCTCCAAGCTGACTATACAGAGCTCAGCAAAAGAAAACACTGTTCTGGACCAAAACAAGAGAAAGTGCTGACCCCTTGAACAGGCAGCAAAAAGAACACCAAAGCAACAAAAAAGGAAAAAAACTGGGAAAATCCCAGAGGATGGAACAAATGAAGAATGAAAAAAGATGCATGATAAAATGGATGATGCTGGAGTCCCACCAGTGGCCAGTCCAGGAATATACCTCTGTCCCAAAATTTTGCATTTTTTCATTCTTTGTCATTTGACTGGTTGCGCAAGAGAGACAGTTTGGGTGAAATACCAGAGCCCGAACAAATTGGGATCACAAACAGGGATCTCATTGGGTGACAATCAGGACCAAGTGAGCACTCTTGCACTATTTGGTTTTGGGTGAGTGAATTTGTTTTTTTTTCTTTTTGCACTATTCAATCGGTCAATGCAGGGACAGCTGTAAAACAAAATTTTCTATAAAAATATCAATCTAATTGTACCTATGACAATGGAACCCAAAGACGAGTTGAATAACCAAAAGACACCAACTGAGATAAGAAAACGGCCATTATGAAGAGATACTTGCAGAGCCTCAGCCAGACTTGGAGAAGATGTGCACCTCCCCACTGGCCTATGGTAGTTGAAAACTGGTATCCAAGCAAAACAATAAAAACTAAAAATTCTCTACACAATAGTGCACATGGGAAAAAAAGCTATACTCCATGCAAAACAAAATTCTATTATCATTTTTCTGATTGAACACATGATTTTAGTAAGGTGGCATAAATAAAAAATTGTTTTTAGCAGGCAACAGTATTCTTCGAACAAGTCAATCTTAATTCAAAGTTTAAAGTGAAAAAGTGCATTTAAAATATTGTTTATTGTGTTTTTAACAACAGATACAACTAATACAGGTATCAAACTTTTAAATGCAGTTATTAATATTATTCTGTTACATTATTTTACTTATACAGAGGCCTTAGAAAAACAAACACTTTTGCTACACATTTTAGTATTCTTTTGGTTTTTTGTTGGACTACTAAAATTCCAATTGGTTTTGACTACTTTAAAATTTTGCATTAATTAATCTAGCTATCTCTTAGCTACATTTTTATGACAAATTGAGGAGCTATTAATTGCCAATTATAATTTTATTTTTGTTTTAATTCCACAAACCGGTATTTCGAGTTTGGAAGGAAGACCAAGACATTTCAAGGACAAGTGATGTTATTTGAAATTTTTTAGAAAAAATAATGAATTTAAAAGTCTCAACAAGACTTCTCAAGATGTCGTAATGAAAACATTGAGAAATTTTCATGTCAAATTATGCCAAAAGCAGACAAAATGCTGACAAAATGTAAAACTACTTTGAAAACAGCACAGTAGACAGTCAGATGACAGAATTACATTCTCGGCATCACCATCACAATCGGCGATACTGGGATGACCTACTTCTTCATTTTATTAATGTATTAAATACATACCTAGTACCACTAGCCACAACTAGCCATTAATTACTGTAGATATACGTTAGTTTATACAAGTAATAAAAGAAATATCTTGGCACTAATAAAACATAATAGGTAAAATTTTACCTATATGCACTATCATGGCCGCAGTCGCAACTGTTTGTGCTCCTGATTCATTCCTCCCTGAGGGGAGCTGCCAGCAGCCAACCAAGTGTATAACGTCACTAGTTATTGATTCACAGTATTTCTTCAACACACGTATCAATAACTACAGTAGTGATGTTATACATTCAGCAGCATGCCAGTAGCTCCCCTCAGGGCAGAATCAGTCAGGAGCACAAACATTTGTGACTGCGGCCATGACAATGTGCATAGGTAAAATTTAACCACATAATAATATATACACTAGAAACTAATTAATCTTGATATTGTAGAAAATACACATGGAAATCATTTAGACAACCCAAGAGGAGTGAAGTTTTTGAATAGCAAAACAAGATATTTACAATTATACAATGAAGTATGCCGACAATATGCAATCAGCAGTACGAAAGAAATTAAGGTATTTACGAGTTACTAAGTCCACAATCAGATTGATGCAACGGTATTAAATGTTTTGATGATGTTGCAGAGTTCCGGGTAAGAGTTTTCCTTATTAATAAAGTCGTCACCAAACTAGGAGAAGTCGCGTGGCCGCCATCAAAGTCGATGATAAGTTTAAGCCGTAATCTTTCTCTTTCAAGTGTCGAACAGGAGGAGGTGGCGCAGCAAACCACAATCCTCTGAATGGCAGACAGGGCAAAGACCCGCATTGTCGGGGACGACGAATCTTCCGAGGCGATAGTCAAAATGGTTGCAATCCCCGGTCAAGCTCAAACCGAGAATCCACAATCTGGGAAAAGAACCGACAAGCGACAGATCTGGAACAGTTATCCCGCCCACCCACCGTCATTTCGGTAGACCATTCCATAGCACTTTCTTGACAGCGAAAATAATAATTTTATTATAAGAAAGGAATTAACTTTGGTCCAGTGCCGCCATTCTGGTCAACTTGTCGGCATGTTCGTCACCAATCTCTCCCGACGAGAGCACATCTGCCCGAAATAGTAATTATTATTCGATTGCCGAATGATGTTCCGGGTCTCGGTGACGATCGGGTGAGAGTTATTTTGAACAAGAAGAGATATAACAGTAGTGCAAAACAGATGGCAGATAGTGGCAGTAGCACGAATTATAGGAGTCGGAACCCCACTCGATGGCCTTTGTTACGGCACACGGTTTGGCCAGCATCACAGTGCCACCCGGACAAAAGCGACAGTTGCGAATTTCATCATAGTCATAGTAAATGCCGAAGCCTAAACAGACACGGCGGTCGATTTTCGAGCTGTCGGCTCGAAAATCGACCGCCAGAGTATACGAGGAGTCGTCCATCAAAATTCTGGAAGACAAGAAAGAACACTCTGATATGGCAAGTCAAAGTAATTAGATTTTTTGAAATTATAGACACGGACGACTTCCAGAACATGTTCCGCGCATTGCCAGCAGCATGAACATGAGAAAATGGCAAATTAGATGAAGCAAAGAAAAAGGAAAACGGGAATAAATTTTGCAAAGAAACGGGACTTCAACCGTCACACCCGGAGGCGGTCTCGACGGTCCCAGCCGACCATCTGAAGGAAGAGGCCCAATAGTGCAAAACAGGAGCAAAATATTTCAGAGCATCAGATTTCGGGAAATTCGTCAGGGAATCACCGAGGAAAGACGGGACACGTGCCCTCCCGTTCTTTCCATCTCCCGACAAGCAACCCAAGAAGACGGTGCCACTTTTCACGTTTCTTCTCGGGCCGGCACCAAAATTTCACCGGAGTTTTCAAAGGAGTCGAAACTCCAATGGAATTTCGGTGCCGGTGACGACGGAATCAAACTGGAGTCGGTGCTGATAAGAAGGAAGCGTTTACGTCGATCAAACCGTATTTACCATTGTTGAAAACCTCGTCCATCAGCGTTTCATTATTATAACGGTAGATTACATTCATTGGGAAGGAGAGAATAATAATAAGTCGATTTTCGACCCGCGTGCCTCCCATCCATTTGTTCTACCGGCCGAATTAACACCGACAGAGCACGGGGATCGGCCGAGTGCCCATCGCGCATCTTGGGTCGAACGACTCACCTTCGGTCGCCCCGTCGCCCCGGCCCGCTTCTCTTCCCTTGTCTTCCCGGGACATGGGCCAGGGAGAAGGAGGAATCTTCGCTCGTCTATTCCGAGAAGACGTCGGGCCGTCGGCCTTCTTTGGCGTCGCCCACGCCCGATCCTCCTTCGCGCTCGTCGCTCTTTCTCTCCGCCCTCGTAATATACGCCGGCGTCTGAAGGGAAGGAAGGACCGAACGTCGTCCTAATGTTTATCTCCGTAGACAGTGACGATCTTCGGTCCGACGGTCGACTACTTTCCCCTTCTCTTCGACGGCCGGAAGTCCGAGCTCTGGTGCCGCGTTGCCAACTGCGGAGCGGAAGTGACGTCGCCGACGGTTCCCCCGCCCAAATTAATAAAACGCCGCGTTCTTTTTAAAGTGGCGAAACGATATTAATCCCAGGAAAGATATTTCGCGCCATCGATTTTTACCGGATCTTTCCGTCATGTTGTGAGTCGCCGTATCGTAATATCAAATAGTTTATTACGATAAAGTGAAAACTTCGGCTGGAAAGGCCGCGTTTCTTTATGCAGCGCTCGAGAAGCGCTTTACAGCGAACCCTCTGAAACCCGTTTCTAAATGCAGCGCTACAATGTAGCGAACCGTTTCTAAACGTTTGCTGCAAGAGGTCGCTGCAGCGAAGATAAAGCAGCTTTTATGTCCGCTACACGTGTAAAGCAAAATGGACGTTTGTGTGTATAATACGATATTATGCTGTAAAAATAAAAAAGTCGAAGTGACTGTTGATAAAAATATTATGGAAATATTAAGAAGGATTAAATTTTATGAAATGACTCTGAAAGTTATGTAAAGAATAAGAAAATACTATATTTTAAATATAATTATATATCTTTTATCTCTTTACTTTGTTCACATTTATGGAAAGATAAATGCTCGATTCTTTATATCTCTTTATTTAAATATTGTAGTTCTTTAACTAAAGCACTATTTTCGGCTGTAACTGGAATTAAAGGATAGATTATGACGTCCGTGTTTCGCTCGAGCGGAAAGCGTTTCTAAACTATGATGCAGCGACGTGTAGCGATAGCTGCTCGTGACGTCATTTACGCTGCACTCTCGCTGCATAAAGAAACGCAGCCAAACTGGTGACAAGCTTCTGCCCGCCATCTAGTGGTTCGAGGAGATAACTACACTTCACTTCATTTGTACCGCGTGTATAGGAGACGTTTTTGGGTATTAACGCAGTAGCGTAGCGTAGGGGGGACGGCAGGGGCGGCCCGCCCCGGTCGGCACTTTTAGGGGGCAAAATTTGACAATAAATAATAATAATATCTTGTAAGAATTTGAACCATTTTATTTCATATTTTCGTCCACCTACGATTCCGACCGATTGAAATGAGCACGGAATGGTGGGATTAGTGTTACCATCCGACTCGCCGTCCAGGGATATCGTGTGCAATCTATCGACCTTTTTTTTTCTTCTTTTGCTTGTACGATTCATTCGTACTCACATACAGTAGACCCCCATAACACGGGTTCCTATAATTACGATTCCTATAAGACGGCGAAAAAATTGCGACGGTATCCGTACAAACCTGGTAAAAAAACTCCTATAATTCGGTGAAACGTCATCGGGCAGCCGAACTACTTTCCGCCGTCCAGCGCCACGCAACAGAGAATTTAGGCAGGTAAATTGAGTTTATTATCGTCTGTACAGTATCTTATATATAAAATTCTCCTGTCACAACTCCTGTCACACTGTTAGTTACCTTACTCCTCCGAAACGGCTTTACCGATTTTTACCAAATTTTATATGCATATTCAGTAGGTCTGAGAATCGGCTACTATCTATTTTTCATACCCCTAAGTGATAACGGTTGTTCACCTTTAACATTTTTTTTAACTAATGAATGACGAACAAAGAACCATTTATGACCGCATTATGCTCGCAGTTTCAGCAGGACAAGGTGGGTTCATCTTTTTGGATGCACCGGGTGAAACTGGCAAAACATTCCTTATTTCGCTAATTCTTGCTGAAATACGATCAAATAATGGCATCGCATTGGCCGTTGCATCATCGGGCATTGCGCCAACTTTATTGGATGGAGGCAGAACAGCTCATTCAGTATTTAAGCTGCCACTAAATATTCAAAATAACCCTGACGCAGTATGCAAAATTAAAAAACAATCGTCCATGGCCACCGTGCTGATACAGTGTAAAATTATCATCTAGGATGAATGTACTATGGCACACAAACATTCGCTTGAGGTGTTGAACAGGACATTGAAAGATATTAAAAACAACGACAAACTATTTGGTGGCACTCTGTTGGTCCTTTCAGGAGATTTCAGACAAACACTTCCCGTCATTCCACGTTCAACATACGCTGATGAGATCAACGCTTGCTTAAAATCATCTCCATTGTAGCGTAATGTTGAAAAAGTACAGCTGAAAGTAAATATGCGCGTTCAAATGCTTCAAGATCCATCCGCTGAAACATTCTCAAAACAACTCTTAAATATCGGTGATGGAAAAGTTGCTATAGATGAAACTGGATACGTAAAATTACCGACCGATTTCTGCACAATCGCTGATTCGCAAGATACTCTCATTGAACAAATATTTCCCGATGTACACACACAGTACATAAATCATGAGTGGCTTGCAGAAAGAGCAATTTTAACGGCAAAAAATGTAGACGTTGACAATTTAAATCTGAAGATACAACAGTTGTTGCCAGGGAACTTGGTATCATACAAATCTATTGATACAGTTTGCGATGCCAGCGAAGCTGTAAATTTTCCCACAGAGTTTTTGAACTCACTGGATTTGCCAGGCATGCCACCGCATAATTTACAATTGAAGGTTGGATCTCCGATTATCTTGCTTCGTAATTTGAACCCGCCACGGCTGTGCAACGGTACGCGATTAGTCATTCAAAAATTAATGAAAAACGTTATCGAAGCCAGCATTTTAAATGGCAAGTTCCGAGGTGAAAATATATTAATACCACGGATTCCTATTATATCTACAGATGTGCCAATTCAATTCAAATGTATTCAGTTTCCGATTAGATTGGCATTTGCAATGACTATCAACAAATCCCAAGGCCAAACGATGTCTATTTGTGGCTTAGATTTGAGCACACCATGTTTTTCACACGGACAATTATACGTGGCATGCTCTCGAGTGGGTAAACCATCCAGTTTGTTTGTGTTAGCTAAAGATGGGCTAACAAAAAATATTGTTCACGCTATAGCATTAAGAAATTGATATTGTTTGTTAGTGTTACTGTCGTAATTGATTAATGATATATAATTTTAAGGAATAAATTATAATAACTTAAAAATAATAATGTTTGGCATTTGTTATTTTTATATTCCCTCATCGTTCACAGCGCTCCATGCCTATTTCACGCATATACCACATCCTT